GTTGGCCTATTCTGCTCCCCACTCTGTCTCTGGTGAATCCTCTCAGCCCCCCTCCCTGTACCTCTGGCCTGTACCATAGTTCTGTATGCATAAATAAATAAATATTTTTTAAAAAGTTAAAAATAAAAATATTACTCTAGTAAGGTAACTGATACAATCCAAATAAGTGAGTACTAGCATTGCCAATAATCACCCAATTAAAGCAGGACAAAAATTCATTAATCAATTGGAAATAGGACGAAATTTACTTGCATCTTCACATGATGCCTGAAATCATATATGAGCAGTTTCGTTTGAAGTTCTTGCTTTCTGTCTTTGCAGGACAGATTTTCTGGGTGACCAGCACAGTGGGTTAATAAACACTGTTGGTTGGTTATGTAGTACTGTACTCACTTTTGCTTGTGGGGCTTGAATGTGAAGCATAGTACGTGCCTTCGTTGGCCTTATTGATTCTCACTCCAACAGGCTCAATACTGAGGGGATGTCCTCCTTTGTTATGAAAGGTGACTCTAATGGTGTCTCCTACCTCTGCCCAGATAACAGGACCTACGGATAAAGAAAGTATTAACAATCATTGATAGCTCCTTACTGCTGTAGTCTAAGACAGATGACAAAACCGGGCTCCAGCATTATACTGGATAATTGGATACATGAACAAGCACCCAGGCAAAGGATGCAATGCTGGAGAGGGGTTACACTTGGGGCACAGAAGGAGGCCTATTGGCTTGAATGTGAGGTTCACAATATTGAATAACTGTAGCCTAAATCAAATTAGAGCAAGTGGTCTTGCATATAGAAATGGGTATTACTAAAATCCACTGAGATAAGACACACAGTTAATGTAAGAATGTAAATCATTAAAATGAGTGGAAATAAATGAAATGGAGATCAAAAAGACAATCAAAAAAACAAATGAGATTACCAACTGATTCCTTGAGAAGATAAACAAAATAGAGAAAACTTTAGCTAGGCTAACAACAGTAACAAAAAGAATACACAAAACACTAACAGAGACAAATGATAGAAGAGAAATCACTACAGATAGCACAGAAATACAAAATATCACAATTACTATATAGAACTATATTCCCATATATTTGATAATCTTATTAAAGTTTTAAATCAACAAAATCTATGAAGACTAACTCAGGAAAAGAACTGAGCAAACCAATCACAAGCCTGGGATTTCAAAGGGTAATGAAAAATATTTTGAAAACTAAAATCCTAGATAACTTTAAGAATGAATTCTATCAAGGTTTTGAAGAACTAATGCTCACCTTAATCAAATTATTTTTTAAAATACAAGAAGGAATGTCCCCTACTACTTTTGACAGTGTGAACA